AGGGGCCGTGCGGTAGACCTTGACGCCATCGGCGACGAGCTGCCGGCGAACGCGCTTCTCCCCAAGGAAGTTGCGGATCTCCACAAGCTGATCCTCCACGGAGACAGAGATGGGAAAGTGCGCGTAGGCGAAGCGGATCTTGAAGCGGAAGCCCTTTGTCACACCCGTGAACATGTTGCGCACGTGCGACAGCGCCGTGTTGATGGTGGCGTTGTTGATTTTTGTACCGAACCAGCGGACGGCGGTGAAGGTGCGGAACTTATTGTTCACACGGAAGTCCAGCTGCAGGTGGCGGAGGTCCTTCGTCAGTGTGCCGCGCTTCCCCTTGACGGTGACGACGCGGTCCTTCACGGACACCTCCACGTCCTCCGGGAACGTGATGCGGTCCTGCGCCCTGATCTTCATGGTTTCCCTTTGCCCTCAGTGCAGGAAGGGTCGCATGGTTAATCAGTCAGTAGTATTATTTACGCAACGGCAAGAGAGAGAAGTTAAAAGGCAGCGAAGGAAGAAATGAACAAGAGACAAAAGAGAGGCGAGAGGGATCCACGAGGAGGAGGGCGGTGAGCGACGCCCACGCACACGCGCGCCAAACACAATGGCACCGCGCTGCAATAGGCACACACCGACGCAGCCGCAACGGACTCGACCTCGCAGTTGCAAAGAAGCCATCAATAAGCGAAAAATAAAAACAAACGCCGAGAATTTCTGCACACCTCTTCTTTGCAAAACAGTACAAGAAAAAAGTCTAAAACAAAAAAAAGCATCTACGGAAGAACAAACAAGCGGAGAGTCAACAGCTGAAGCCGGCTACTGCTGCGGGTGGGGGAATGATGGGGCGACGGCGGCGACGGGGTGGGGGCAGTGAGGTCGGGGTTGATGGTACAAACACGCACAAAGAGGCAGAATAACGGCGGCGGCGGCAGCTTCTAAAGTCTCTTCATTTTAATTATTATTACTTCCCCCCATCTCTTCTTCTGCGGCTTTTCTTCTCTATTCTCCTGCCGTTTTGTTCTCCGCCCGCCGGGGTCTCTCGCTTGAGGTGCGCGCAACAACAACGGGCAGGAAAAGTAAAAAAACACACACACACGCACTCGCACACGCAGAAAGGGAAATGAAAGACGCAAGCACTCATGGTTGCGCGCAACAAAACAGCAGCTTCATCAGAATAAAAAGACAAGTGTACAAATAACCTGAATAACAACAAAAAAAAAGGCATGCCGTATTTGCCCACTATCTCTCCTCCCTCCTCCTTCCTGCTGGCTTGCCTGGCGCTTTGCCGCTGCCACCGCCCTGGAGAGGAGCACATGCGTGGCGGTAGGTGGCGTGGGGGGATCTAGCGAAAAGGAAGGTGGCACGCAGCTGCACAGGCAAACTGAAGCCGCATAAAAACAGGGGCAAACTCAGTTCGGTCGTGGAAGGCGGAAGGGGAGAATGTTTTCCTACCCCCAGCCTGTGTGCATGACAAAAAAAAAAAAACAGAAAAAAATAATTATAACAGATAAACAAATAAAAAACAAACAAACGCCGCCGGGCGCCAATTTTTCTCTATTTTTTCATTTCTTGTTTTCGTCTTATTTTTGTCGTTTAATTCCATTCCGCACCCTCGCCATCGCCCCTCGTCGTCGTAGTGGATGGAGTCCGGGCCCCCGGGCACAGTCAGCCGTGTGTTTGGTGTGGTTTATCAGTGCAGCAGGGGGAAGGGAGTCAAAGAAACGAATTCGCATGGTGCAGGTGACGTGCGCGCGAGTGTCTACGAGAAGAGAGAGTGAGCGTGAGCGTGCGGGGACGACCGCCGCAGCTTCCCCTCCCACTTCCTCCGCCTCTTCAGAGGTGTCATTTTCCTTTCCTCCTCCCTCCGTCGCCTGCGCACGCGCCTTTTCTACGCCGCCATGCCTCGTCCCAAGCGGTTGGTTTTTTTTCCCCGAAGTTGCGGGGGGGGCTGGCAGCGCCCAGACGCGCGACACGCCCCCATCCCCAACGCACCGCCGCTGAAGTGCGGCGATGGAGGGGAAGCCAGTGCAAAGGCCTAGGAATAAACGCCCCCAAAACGTTGGAGAAATGTAAACAAGGAAGAGCTCTCTCTACCTCTCTCCATACACACCGCACACACGCACGCTGCAACAGAGAGAGTCCCTCTCACGCTACTCCTCACTTGGAAAGGTTCTTTAAATACAGCGGTGGGACGTCTGGGCGGCCTCGCTGCGAATGCTGCCCCAAGGATTTGCGTGCTGAGGTGTGTGGCGTATGGGACTTCAAAGAAAACGGACTCTCGGCGGCAACACTCTCACCCACAGTGTTCGCCCCCTTCTCTGAAAAGCGCATCGATGTTCTATTCAGTGCGCTCGGCGTCCGCGAGAGGGCCACCGGGGAGGAGCGCGGTGGCATCGTCAAACCCGTCGTCAGTTTGCTCCTTGTGAGTTTCGCGCGCCGCTTCTGCTCCTGCGATGGCGACGCCTGGTTGCCCTCACTGGTGCTTCGCTCCCTCAGATTGCTCAGCACGCGCGGGTCGTAGAACGGCCTCGGCAACACCGAGGCTGGGATGGATGGCTTCGGAGAGTCCAGGCGGCCTCCACCGCTGGCGCGCGTGGAGGTGCCTGCCGATGACTGTCTCCCACTGATGCGGCTGCTTAGTTGCGGCACACCCGCCGTATTTGTGCGGGAGAATATTGAGGTACGGGCGCGATGGAACGCGCGGCCCGGCGGCGCTGCAGCGGCAGGCTTCTTTTTGTGGCTCGACGCGGCACCCTCAACCTTTGCCGTGCGCCGCGGCGTTGAGGCAGGGCTCGATTTGGGGTTGTACAGCTCCGCCAAGGCGGCGAAGCTCGGCACCTCCGTATTCGCACGCGCGAAGCGCGTGCCCCTCGCCGCCAGTTGTGGGTGGCCCGCGTCGGGCACATTCACCGCGCTCATGTTCCGTTCAAAGTTAAAGGCAGAGCCGCTTCGCGCCACCGCCGAGCTTGCCACAAAGGTCACATCATTGTCGGACACAGGCACCACTAGCGCCGTCGCACGTCGCCCGAACTTGCCCTCCGCACTGCCCGCGCCCTTCTCTGCAGACATCCTGCGCTGGGATAACCTCCCTGTCGCGCTTCGCAGCGGGGTGAAGGTGGTGTTAGAGCGTCCAAGAGCCATTGTGCCCATCTCACTTCGGCGCGGCGACGACCCCATCCTAGCAAAGGTCTGACTGCGTTGGATTGCATTACAACTGGGGACAGCCTTGCTCTCCTTCACCACACGTGCGAGGTTGCTGCGCCTCGTTTTGTCCGAATGCTTCTCAAGAATGCGCAGGCTATCGGTAACACTGGTGTCCTTGCTGTTTGTGGGCGCATACTCGGTGTCGAAGGAGCCGCGCTTCCCAGGCAGTACGAGGCGCAGCGTGGAGGTTGCGTTGGTGTTGACAAGGCTTCCCTGTCTCACCAGCCGTGCCAGCTGCATAACGCGCTCCATGTTGCGAATGAGCTCCATGTAGCTGACGTGCTCGGCCTTGGGGGAGAGGTCCCAGTGGTCGTACCAAATAAGCAGGCCGTTGAGTGCGTTGCCGGCGCGCCGGCGACGATGGTCTACGAGGCGGGACAACACGTCACTCTCCTCCACGGACCATTTACCGCCAATGCGCTGCGCCTTACCGGCGATATCGGCCACCACCTGACGCAGCTCATGCATAAAGGTGCGGAACTGCGCCTCCGGCCGCAGCTCCACGGCAGGCACCAGAAGACCGAACTTGTGCAGGCTCTGGCGGTTAAGGACGTACAACTCGATCTTGAGGCGATCCATCATGATGCGCAGGCAGACACGAATCAGCGCCGTCACCTCGTCGGAGAACTGGAAGTCGGGTGGGAACACGGAATACCCGTTGCCTCCGTCGTGGCCTTCCATGGCCGTCGCAAGCAACTCCTCGATGCGGTCCCGCAACTCGCCCTCGTCTCTAAACCCCTCAATGTCCTCCAGCGTGGCTTTGTCCCGCGCAATTGCCAGGATCGTGCGTAGCTCGTTCTCCTTCGACGCGAGGGCTGCGGAGAGTTTGTTGTACTCCGCCTCCCGCTCCTCAATCACGCGCCGATGTTCCTGCAGCAGCAAGTCATCGTTGTTCACGGACTTCTTCTTCACCGCCGTCTTCTTCTGCTTCGCCGCGCGCAACTTCTCGACGGCCTCTGCGCACTGCCGCTCCGCCAAGGCGAGCGCCTCGCACTTCTCCGCGTACTGCGCCTTGATCCGCTCCATTTCCTCCACCGTCAGATTCAGGTCATTCTTCTCCTCCCTCTCAAGCTCTTCCTTCTCGGCGCGCAAGCGCTCCACGAGTTCCTTGTACCCTTGCACCTGCGCCTCGTACGCCTTGATCTCCTCCATGAAGCGCAGGTTTTCATTCTCAAGTTCCGCCGCTATTTTCTCAAGGGCCACTACGGATTCAAAGGCGGTTTCCTTTTCAAAGCGGTCAATCGCATCCACCGCAGCGACGCTGGAGTCATGCTCGCCGAGAAGCTTCTTGGCTCGTGCCGCGTTGCTCTCGACCCGCAGCTCATCCCACGGCACTTGGCCACTCACGATTCCTGCCTCCTCGCCTCCGACGTCGTCCTTGTCGCCGCCCTTGGCGTCACTGAACCTGAGCGCAAGACGCTGCATGGCGCGTCGTTTCCACATGTGGGCAAGTAGCTTTAGCGCGCGTATCTCTTCCGCCATGCGTGCGAGACGCGTGTCAAGCTCCGCCTCATTAATGGCGCTCATCTCCGCAAGTGCCTCCTCCGCGCTGCCAAGTAAGGTTTCCAGAGAATTGATATCCTGCCGAAGAGCGGCATTCTCCTTCGTGGCGTCTGAAAAGGCCTCCGCGAGCTCCTTCATTTCATCCTCCATCTGCGCCCGGCCGAGCTCGTGCTCTGTGTTCTTGTCCCGCGCAATGCGCAGCTTGCTCTCCACAAGGTTGAGATCCTTGCGAAGATCATCCAGAGCCTGTTCGAGGGCCAAGATACGCTCGCAGAGCACCCGCTCACGCTTTGCCGCGTGATGCCGCTCCAGTACCCCCTCGGACGTTGACAATTGAATTTGCATTCTGCCGATCCCCTGCAACTCGGGATCTTTGCTGTGCTTCAGCAGAATCTCATTCGCCGTGGGTGCAGCCTCCACCTTAGCTGCGGCTGGCCCCTCCTCTTCGGCTGAACCGTCGCGGCCCGCGGCGAGGGCAGCGCCCTGTTGCGTCCCTGCCCTCGCACCGATGGGTGTCGCAGCTCGGCCCGCACTCTCGTCACTGCCGCTCACACTCACCACAGCCGAGAGGGAGGACCGCACCCTGGCCGAGAGGTTCTTCGCGGCGCCAGCCTTCACGGGGGGCGATGGTGGTGGGTTTTGCTTTGGAGGCGTGTCCCTGTCCAACTCTGCCAGGCGGCGCTGGAGCTCCTCGTACTCGGCGTTGTGCCCCAGCAGGTCCTTGTACAGCAATTGGTTCTCCTCGACGCAGTCCTCAAAGCGTTGGGGGTCAACGCTGTACTCGTAACGAATAGACGGCGAAACAGACGTACGGTAGAAGGCGCGGGCTGCCGCGCCGGCCTGCTGCGGCGTTGCGGCGGCGGCGCCGCCAGTCAACTCCACAACGTCCAGCGGCCTGACGGGGTTGGGTGAGAATGAGAGGCCCCTTTCACGACGGTGGGCAGTTGCCATTGAGACCATCCGCGACCGCGACTCCGCCTCACGCTGGCATTGATACTCAATCGTTCGGGCTTGCTCCTGGCACACCTCCAGCAGCTTGGCCTTGTCGCGCCGCAGCTGCTCGAACTCCGCGTTATCCTGCGACTGCGCATTCGGAAGGGAAAGCGAGATTCTCAAGTCGCCTGTTGTGACCCCCGTGTCCGCGTCGCCGCCGCCGCCGCGCGAGAGACAGCTGGTGTCCACGTAGTGAAATGTCAACAAGTCCTGCTCTGAGCCCTCGTTCACGCTGTCGAGAAAGACACTCACGACATCGCCGTGCCTCAGCTGTCGGCGGCCCCCACTCTTCAAGCTGAGGCCGTTGACCTGGCACTCCACTGCGTCACTTGCGGCGGGCTCCGCGCCATCGGATGGAAGGTACCGCAACCAATATCGCTGCTCACACGCGCGCTGCGAAACGAGCTCAAACTCAATGACACCGTAGTCCAGCTGCTGCTTGCACCACCCCTCATCCCCCGGCTGCGGCTGCACCCCTGAGCTCCGCGCACGGTGCAACATGTCCGCGAGACGGAACTGCGTTACCTCCTGCGAGAGCGATGTGACGCCGATGCAGCCGCCCTCGAGGCAGGAGCCACCGATACCAGCCACGCTGGTGTACTTTCGGTGAGCCGTGACAACCAACGGCACAGCGCCGACCGCGGGGGCGGCAATGACGGCTTCAGTTGCGGCAGTAGCAGCGTCCTGCTTCAATGGTGCAGCAGCGCAGCCTCGCGCCACACCGGTGGCCTTCTCTAACTGTATCGTATTGTCTGCCGCGTCGGCCGCCGCGTCACTCGTGTCCGTGTTAAACTTTCTCATTAGTAAATCAACATGATTCTTCAGCTGTTCATTCTCCTCCCTGAGCCGTGCATTGAGTTCCAGCAGGTTGGAGCGTGTTTGGAATGTCCTGTTCACCATGGGGCGGTTACGTATCTTACGCACATCCTTCGCGTACAGCAGTGTAGCACATGACTCCTGGTAGCAAAACGAGACAGGGGCAATGGTGGCAATCATGAATGTTTTGCTGTTGCCGCCCAAGTTATCTTTCAACACCATCGTCAGCAGCGAATCGCGGTAGTTGACGTACTTCGCCCCGTGTGAAATGTCATTAATGACCCGCGCCAGGGTGGCGAGTGACTGGTTGATTTGAATCCCCTCGTCACGGCTTTTTCCGTCTGTCTTGGCCGTCTTCTGCCGTTCGCTGCCGGCGAGGTCGACGAGGTTGAGCGTCGCATTCAACTCCACCGACTCCTTCGTGATGCGGTTGGTGCGCCACTGGGTGACGCGGACCTGCAGCACGGCGTGGCTGCGGCTGCTGCGCGCATTCATCCCCGTCTCCCCCGTCTGCCGGCGGCGCAGGCCCAGCTCCAGCAGCGGGTAGGCCTTCTCCGCCGACGCCACCGCCTGCTGCTGGAGGCCGTGAATCGTCATGGCCTCCCCCTGGGAAGCCACGTCACGCACAAAAGACACCCGCAGCGGGCCCTTGCGGGAGAAGAGGCAGTAGACCTCATTCTGGTAGATCTCAAAGAAGGAGAGCTGGACGCGGTAGGAGTACTCCGTGGTGCTGTCTTCCTGGTAGCTGCGGCGGATGCTCTCCAGCCGCTGGAAAAGGTCGTCAATCGTGCGTGGCACCACGCCAGGGTCGCGGCGAAGGCAGTCGGTGTCGCCAAACAACGTAAACGTCTTGCCGCTCCCCGTCTGCCCGTACGCAAAAACGCACGAGTTGATGCCCTCCACTGCGGCACCCACGGCGTGCACCGCCGTGGAGAGGTACACGTCCTCCTGGGTGCCGTACCCCGGGGGACGGATAAAGTCGCTGTCGCGGACCAACGGCATCTGCAGCATGGAGTCCGCATCCATGGAGTTGAGGCACTTGTCGTACTCAAAGTAGCTTGCGGTGGCCGTTGAGGTCAGGTATCGCCTCGCAAGGTTGCTCGCCTTCCCTCCACCGGAGCGGGCGGTGAGAAGCTGCACCAGGCCATCCGCGTCGCGTGCCACGCAGGACGCGTCGTCGACGGACCTCGGGTCATGCAACACAACGAAGTTCTCAAGCGTGGAGACACAAATGCGCTGGGCGTCCCGGACGTTGTCCCGCGTTGAGCGGCGTGAGGCGGAGTTATAGACTGCCATGCCTGGTACCGTGGCAACGTCGCGAACGCGCACGCAGACAAAGATATGCCCGTCATCCGGGTATTCACGCGCCATGGCGACCGTCAAACTGTCTAGGGACGGTTTTCCGCCTTCTTCTTCTCGCCGCGGCTTCGGCTGCTGATGACGGTTTTTTGCTTGGTACTTGTTATTACTCTCCCTTCTGCTTTTCCTTTTGGCGTTTGCCAACTCTAAATCTCAGCCGTGCGTCCCGTGCCTGTTGCCAGAAATGGAGCGCACGCAATTGTGTGCGTGTGCACAAGTAAATAACTCAATACGTACAAAAAGAGGATGGGCGGGCACACAGCCACGTACTGCAAAAGGCCACGGCCAGAGAACTAATGTACAGCGAGAAAAGGAATGAGAGGCACAGCGGTCTCTACGTCCCTCCCTCCTCCTCCTCCTCTCGTTTTATGTGTCTGCCGGTGGCGGTGGCTTGCTCTGCCGATGCTTGCGCGGCGCCTCGCTGTCTTTGGGTCTTCCTTGTTTACCTCAGCTGCTTCGCGGCTGTGTGGGAGGTCACTGAGGGTCAATAAACGAACCGAGGGAGCGGAAACGCCCACGACCTTCTGGTGAACTTTCCCGCAGACGCCGGGGCGAGGGGGCAGGCAAAAGGAGGCCAGGGGAAAAAAGAACTGGTGGGGGGGGGGGGGGAGCGGCGGGCGGCACACAGACAGCCGCACACACGCACGCGCAAGGCAGCCACGCTGCCGGAAGGGGGGATCACGCGGAGGCAGCCGGCCGCACACGGGCAGAAAAGCAACGCCGCCGAGCGGTGAAGGGAAGAGGAGGGAGGGGGCAACGGCGCCCCGCCGCCCCGCCCCCAAAGGCGCCAAAGCAGCCCACAGCACCGATGTGTCTACATGCATGCACCAACAACAAGCAGAGCAAAAGAAAAGAAAAAAAGGTGCGGGTGCGGAGGGAAAAGAAAAAAAAAATAGAGTGGCATTAGTCACCAAATAGAGTTGAGATCCCTGAGCGTCTTTGGGAGTGACACACGAATCCACACAAATATTTCGCAGAGGGCACGCCAATGACATGAAACAACACAATCGAAAAAAAAAAAAGTGGGAGAGGATGAAAGCAGCGTGGAAATAATTAACCATTCAATGCGGTCAATTCTGATAGAAGCACAGTAATGCCCAACCTTCTACAAACACACGCACACAGACTCTCTCTCTCTCTCTCTCTCTCTCTCTCTCTCTTCTC